CTTCGTTCAATTACAGAACAGGTATAGCATGGACAGCAGCAGTGCCAGCTTCCCCACATGGCCAATCATGCCTGTTTCCAGAGGGACAAGCTCCATGGCATTCATTGCGGACCTTGTAGGCTCCCCACAAGGGTTCCAGCTACTAGGGTGCATCGTGATGTAGTTGCTCAGCCACTAGGCCAGGGGTTCTCAAACTGGGGGTCGGGACCCCTCAGGGTTGTCACGAGGTTATTACATGGCGGGTCGCGAACTGTCAACAATGGCCAACAGATGGCAGTAGGCCAGATCCTGAACTGGTGTAAATAAGGACAGTTCCACTGAAGACAAGGGATCTGGGTAAACAAGTTTAAATTACATCCAGCTTTGGCTGGATTTGAACTGGTGACCTAGAAGGTGTTTATATCACTTTACCAGTTCTCTGAGCCCTCCGTTCCCCTGGCAGCAGCTTTTTACTGTAACTGGAACAAGAGTTTAAATCTGTGATTCTCAACCTATTTATCATTGTGTTACCTGGACCACAGGTTGAGAACCCCAGCGTGCCCCCCTCCAACCCCTCAGACCCCTATACCTAGCACCTCCCGCCCAGAGACCCCTGCATAGAGTGGGGCCAGGAGTGGAGCCCTGGGCGGGGGGCCAGGAATGCCGCCCCTGCTGTGTGGCCTGGCGGCCTTTAGCACACAGATGGGCTGTAGCTGTGTGCTAATTGTGTCGCATGCGGCCCACCGGCCACGGGTTGAAAACCTCTGATTTAAATGGAGTGCACTAAAGCTAATCTGTTTATCCCACAGAAGCTACCAATTTCAGATACATTCAGCAGGATCCATTTCAATTTCTCAGTTGGCGATATTTGTGTTACGCAGTTCAGTAAGCTTCCAGGAGAACAGCTGAATCAATAAACAGTGCAGGTCTTTTCCTTAGAATGTATTGATTCACAAGCTGCTTGCATCTTAAACACTCCCTAATAAAAACTTTTGCCTCATTATAAACAATGTGCATAATCTGTATGAAATGCAAAAGCATTGTTAATGCAACATTGTTTGAACAGTTAAATACTTGAAAATCAGGAAATTTAAAGGTTTAAGCAGAATGCGCAATCTGAACTCTGCCTTCTTGCAAATATGCAGTGGTGGTGTAGCCATGTTGGTCTGAGGATATTAGAGAGACAAGGCAGGTGATGTAATTGTCTTTTCCTGGACCACCTTCTGTTGGTGAGAGAGACAAGCTTTCGAGCATACACAGAGCTCTCCCTGAGGGTTGAAACCTCATGAAAGGAATTGCTGGCTTGCAAATTCAAACTGGTTTTAAAAATTCTTTAGAGCTGGGTCAAGCCCCAGTTCCCAACTGCCTCACACTTTGGGGAACAGAAGAGCTGGATACAAACTTTGCATTTTGACCTTCTCTCGATGCTCAGTGGAACGAACCCCCCAGATCTGAATAGCCTTTAATGTTGGGGACACTAGAAAATCTGGATCTAATGTATGCCCACCTTCCAAGCAATGAAAATTTGGCTGCATTTGGTAAAGGCCCCTGTCAATGAGGTCCTGGAGCAGTGCCCTGGCTGGAAGTTCAGCCCTGCTACCTTCCAGCTGCTGGGAAGAGAAAGGGTGTTGAGATTTTTACCAGGATGCTCTTGGATCCTCTTCTGGGGCCTTTGTTTTCACATCAGCCCCTGGTTAGTAGGTCTGATAAGTGTGAAGTTCTACCCATTGCTTGCTTATGGAAAGGAGAAGAACCTTCTCTCTCACACTCTGCCTCATGCTGCTTTTCCTCCCTTTTTCCTTCATCTGTCCATTGCCTACTTAGCTTGTAAGCGCCTCAGGGCAAAGACCTTGTCTGTAAAATACCTAAACACTCTTGATGCTACAGAGATAATAATTTAAAGACTGTTTCACTGTATCCCAATTCACTGGTCTCAATCTAATTCCCACTAAAGTCAAAAAAGACTTCTGTAGGGTTGACGGGATCAATAATAAATTCCATTGTATGTGAGAGACACATAGTGTGTCAGTCTACTCTCCTCCCCACCGAAATTATATTGGCAGTGTTGTTAGTTACTTAGACACAGCTGATGCAAGTAAAGAGCTGCAGAGAGGAAGAAAATATTCTTTAAGAAGTCACCTATGGCCAGTATTTTCTTACGAGATATGATGAGGGGAACTGATGCATATTGCAAAAATGCAGCACGACATCCATTAGGGAATGAAACCCATTTTGTATTGTTGAATAGACGTATGGAATGATGAATAGCTCCAAAATGAATACAAGGCTGTAATTTACTGGAGAGGCTCTCGACAATGTTATAAACCAAGAAACCTCCTCTCCAGCCACTTTTACAATAGCTGCACAATCCTGACACTGACTTAAGTCTTTAGCAATCCATTGAGAGCTGGTGTGCAAGGCAAACAAAACTGTTAGAATGCAAACAGGAAGGAGTCCGCAGCATGGAGGAGGAAGGAAGCTTACTGAGGCATTTGCATTCACATAATAAAGTTGTAACCCTGTAAATGCAATAATACGTCGGATGATAAATTATAACAGGGCTGGAGATGGGAGTTAATAGCTCTCAATTAAACAGACAGAATGATTGTTTTTCTCTGCAGCCGCTCCGCTCCCTCCTTTATCTCATTTTTCTGAACGACTGACTACATAGCTCGGGCTTTTCTCTGCATGTAATTTTATCGAGTCTCTTCCGCAACTGCAGTCCTTCGTGCCGAATTCTGTTAAAGCAAGGGCTCTGACGCGATTAGGTGACCCCCTGAGCAGCAGGGAAGTGTCAACTGACAGTTTCATCCTGGAACATCCACTTGCTCCTGTCATCCTGTCGGCCTAAAGTGCTGGCTCTCCTCTGAAAAGTGACTCTGTTCAAGTGGTATCTTGTGCATGTGCAGAGTCATGTTGTCTTACTCCTGTAACTAAAATACATTTTTGCTCCTGCTGTCCCTGCAGAGCCAACCCAGCTAAGGGAGAGCAAGCTGGACTCTTCTCCTCCTTGTGCATTATCAGCAGAATTGTTTGCTCAGGACAGTTAGAGGGCCAGTCTGTGACGCTGCAAAGGAAAAGTTTGTCCTTCCTGTCACTCAGAGCCACACCCAGGGGTCATTCTTGACTTCTCTCCCTCTGTTGCCCCGCACACCCAGGCCACCACCACTTCTTCCTCACTAACCTTTCTAGGATTGCCCTTTTTATCCCAGACCACACGGCTCAAACTCTTGTCCAGGTCCTTGTGGTCTCCCATTGTGACTACCGCAGTCTCCTACTCTCTGGCCTTGCTGACGCCCAGTACACTTATCCTCCTTGTCCTTTGTTATGAACATGTCAGCCCCCTTTTGCAATCTTCCATCAGCTCCTCGTTTCCACTGCATCGTGTTCAAACCCTAGGCCCTTCACCGCCCATCTCTCCTGCTTATCAGCTCTTTTCTCTTACCAAGCCACCGCACCAGTGACCAGGCCATCCTCTAACACCCAACTGTTCATTTCTTCCATGCTGCTCCCTATGATTGGAACACCCTCGCTGGCTTAGTCTAAAACCACTACCCTTCTCCAGACCCACCTCGACTGTGATTCGAGTAGGAAACTGCCAGCTGATATAGTCCCCTGGTAGAAGACTGCTTGGCGATCTCATCTGTTGTATCAGTTTAACTAGGATTGAAATAAGCACAAGTACTGTCATCATTTTTTCACTTCTCCACCTTGGGAAAAAAATTCATCTTCCCATATTGTGTGTCTGTTTGTGGTTGGTATTCTCCGATGTGAACTAATTGAGTAGGCAGCCCTTCTGTTGTGTGAATGCCGCCCGCGCAGCTGTGGCCTTGATACACTTCAGCTTATAGTTGCGTAATTTGTTCACTCTCTGCAATAAATTGTTTGTGCTTTTGATGGATCTTTCGTGAAATATTTTAATGCATTCCCGTTGAATTTCTATTTTTTTTTTCCAGTCGCTATTGACAAAAGAGAGCAGTAACTCTGGCTTTACATGGGACTTTAATCTCCCCAGCTGTCACACAGATCCCTGATACAAATATTTTCCACAGTTAATGCCTTCGGTGTGGTTTTTTTATATGATCAAACGTAATCTTCTTTAATTAAGTTTGATTGCCACAATGCTGTGTTCTTTTCATCAGGTTGCAGACGTTTTAAAAAAAAAAAAAGAACCCTGGGGAGATCGTTTAGAGGAGAGCAACAGAAATGATTAAAGGGCTGGAGAGATTTATCTAGGAGGAAAGACCCAAAAGAACTGAATTCGGTATAGCTTGACTAGGCTAGGGGTCAATCAAGAAGTCTCGGAGGCGGGCTCATATTTGAAAGTGTAATCAACCAAGAAACGGGAGGAATTTAATATGGCTTCAGGGGTGTATGCTAGGAGTAATGAGATAAATATAAGAAAGGGAAATTTTAGGATGAATATGTGGAGAAACTTCCTGAAAAGGAGATGTATTCGATTTGATCCTCTTACAGAGAAGTGATGGATGCTTCATCCCACAGCATGCTTAAGATCAGACTGGACAAAGCACTGGAAAATACATTGCAAGATCAGTCCTTCGCTAGCCAGGGTATAGCCTAGCTGTCCTCGCAGACCTTTTTCTCATCTCTAATTTCAGTCATTCTGTTACTTTAATCAGGAAATTTACAGGAAACAATGAGTAAAATGTTGGGCTCAGTATAATGATTCTGAGTAACAACATTGGGGCCCGAACCTCAGCTGGTGTAAATTGGCTCCATCTGACTTCAGGGGAGTTAATCTGGTTTACTGATGTGCCCCTGGATGTGGAGTAACTCCAGTGACCAAATGAGACAGGTTGGAATCTGTAACTCAAGGAGCTGGAATTCACTGAATTCAGTGTGGGAGCAGAAACCTTACCGTTTATCAGGTACTGGGGCTGAATGGCAGTATGGAAACATGGCCTTATAACTGCAGGTGCTGGGGTGGCTTGCCCCTGTCTCTAAAGCTTTGTTATGTCAGTCTGGCAAGCACCTAGCTATAATTGTTGTGTGTTTGTTAGGTTGTCCGCACAGAAAAGAACAGTCTGAACAACAGGTTCCTGCCATGGGATGAGATCGAGACAGAGGCCATTCTGTCTATCGACGATGACGCCCACCTTCGCCATGACGAGATCATGTTTGGGTTCCGGTGAGTAGCGTAAAGTCTGTGCATGTGCGGTTGGTTGGGGTCGTGTGGACCGGGCCACATACAATCGAGCCGTGTTCCATTCAGATCCACACTCTGAAGTGTAGTTAAAGCCAGGAACTGGAGTCAAGAGAAGTACGATTCTGTTCTTGGTCTGCTACTGATTTCCTTGGCCACTTCGACCAGAGTTTTGAAACTTGGATGTCTAAAGTTAGCCACTTAAAGTTCATTTATAGCACCTCAATAATGGGCCTGGTTTTCAGGAGTGCTGAGCAGCTGCCATTGTTCAGTGCTTTGGAACAGTCAGGCACTCTCATTTCAAAATGTTAGCCTTCACCTTTTCGAGGGCAGTTTCCCCATCTCTAATACGGCGACAGTCATATTTCCGTATCTCAGAGGGATGCTGCGTGCTTAATGATTAATCATAAAGTGCTTGGAGATCCCTGAGTGAAAGGTGCTATAAATACAAAGTCTGTATTATTCTTAGACAGAAAAACAATGTTAAAAGAACTTTAATAGGATTACAAAGTCAAGCACACAAATGTCAGGAAATGCCACAATTAAGGTTGCCTGTGCAATTATTATAATTACACGATCACATACTGCTTTTTCCACAAGAAAAGGTCACCGCAATTTTTTAACATGGACAAAACAACATATTTTTCCCTAGTCCTGTTCTCAGAAACTGCTGCACCATTCTCGAGGAAAGTTTCAGCCCAGATAGTTTGGCAAAGTTTTATAAGCAACTGAAAACAGGGTCTTATAATGGGAAGTGTTGGGTAGCCTTAAAAACATGTGGTACTACCAGCCCTACCCATCGTTCCTGTTATCGTCACTTATTAAGCATTTAGACCTGACCAAAACCCCCTAAATTAAAATACTTCTAAATAACTGACTTAATATGCCTGCCGGAGTTAAGTTTAAGGTTCCTGCATAGTCATGAACTGTGACGTTAAAGATTCCGTTTGGGTGGTGCAGGGGCTGATAACAGGGTAGAAAAGCCTTTTGCTCCTATGCTGCTGGGTCAAATTCAGCTCAGGTAGGTAGTGACAAAAGCTGGTGCAAACTGTTGGCTGTCCAGCAGCCTCTGTGAAGTGGGTGGATGGTCTGTCCTGTTCCAAGGTGTTCACATCTCTCAGACACCCCATCCAAATTGTCCCCCTCATTGACAAAGTCAGCAGAGTTCCCGGATTGAATGGACCAAGGGATTTAAACTCTCCCGCCCGTTCTTAGAGGGTAGCCTGTCCAGGTGTGGGGCAAAGTTCCCTGTAAGCTGTGCAGCAGCCTATTTAGCACCGCTCTGGGAACCCGTCCGGCTGGGACCTGCCAGGGGCGGGGCGGCCCAAACCCAGCCCCGGCCCAGACCTATCGGAGGATGGATGGCCCGGACCTGCCACATCCAGGGGTGGGCGCCCCTCGCTTGGCCCGAACCCAGTCCTGGCCCAGACCTGCCGCAGCCGGGGTGTGTGGGGGGGTGCCTCTCCCACAGCCCCAGCCTCAGAGCTGCCGCAGCAGGGAGAGGCACCTCTCCCCGTCCAGCCCAGGTGCTGCTGGGGGGAGCCCTCTCTCCCTGCTGTAGTCCCGGAGCACCCTCCTGCACTCCAAGCCTCTCATCCCCAGGCCCATCCCAGAGCCCGCACCCCCAGCCAGAGCCCTCACACCCCTGCACCTCTGCCCCAGCCCTGATCCCCTCTGCCACACCCCCAGCCAGAGCCCTCACCCCCTGCACCCGAACCCTCTGCTCCAGCCCTGAGCTCCTTCCCACACGCTGAACCCCTCGGCCCCACCCCATGAACTTCCTTATGTGCACCAAAATGAAAGTGGTATGTCACACGTCACCTCCATATTGGTGCACATAACAAAATTCATTCCGCACATGGGTGGGAAAAATTAGAGGGAACACTGGTGTGGGGGTGTCTGTTGTTGACATTAGCTGCACCTATCTAATGTGGTCCGTAGGGGGCGGCAGCATAAAGATGGGCAGTCCCCCTAGGACCTGGTTCCATGTAGGTGCTAATGGGGAAGCAGGGCCTATGCAGTCAGTTGAATGGATTACCCGCCGGCTGCAGAAGGATGGCAGCTTCAATTATGAAAGCCTGAAGAAGCATGAGGGTGGCAGGGGCGGCAAGGCCTTGTTTGTGCTGCTCTCAGTGGCCGTGGGATTGTCAGTTTGACATATTGTCCTGACTCAGGGAACGCGTCCTTCACTGCCAGGCGCTGCCGGCGGTCCTCCTGAATCTCTCCCCTGACAGCGTGACCCCGCAGATCTCTTCTGCCTCTGGCACGTTGGCTGGGGCTGTATTAACTTTCACAGAGCATCCTGTCATCAGCATGTTGTTGTTGTTGTCCCCGTCCCTCTCCCGCTTCAGCATCTAAACTTCCATCCGCTCTGCACTTGCAGAGGGTTTCCAGGGTGCAGAGGCAGGCGACTGGGGTGAAGTAGTGAACTGGGGCCTGAGGAAAGGGAGCGAGGCCAGTCTCTGTTCCAGCCGCTGATGGAATCTGGCTGTCAGAGCGGCTCTGGCAGCAGGTTCTAATTGAGTCTGAGCTTCCATCGTGGGAGGCTCCGGGGCTTCTCCTTCAACGCGTACAGCTAAAGAGCTCGTAAATACATGCCAAGAGGTGTGTTCCAAGGGCAGGGGCTGACCCAGCAGGGTAATGATGCCACTACGCAAGCTTGTGTCACTCACTTGGTTCTTGGTTCCTCTGGCCAATAGGGGTTGCAGTCTGCGCAGTGGCCTCTCTTCACTAAAGCAAGAGCTCAGTCAGCTAGTGGAAGAGGGGAAAGGAGTTCAGGTCTTCTCTGTCACTAGGGTGTGTTGGCCTGGTGGTTGGGAGGCAGGTAAAAGGGGGAGCCAGGACTCCTAGGTAGAGGTCTGTTTGGGCCTAATTTTTAGGCCCCAACCAAAGTCAAGCTCAGCTGACCTGAAAGGGTCAAGTTGTTTTCCAAGCAACCCTGACCCTTTCCCGACCACGCGCGAGTCAGCGCTGCTGCTCCCTGCCCGGGGTGGGCTCGGCTCGGCCGTGCTGCGGCGTGAGGCACACGGACTCCTCGGCACGCCCGCTCTGCAGTGCACGCCGCGCAGCAAGGTGGCGGAGGCCAGCAGGAGTGGGGGTCCCGCGGCCACTGCCCCACCATTCCCACGAGAGCAAGCCCGCAAGGGTCCGGTTGCTTTCCCAGACCCAACAGTTGTAGTCGGATCCTAGCGGGTTTGGGTCAGGTTTCAGGGCTCTAGCCTTAGGTTCTGTTCCAAACTCTGCCACTGACTTGCCGCGTGACCTTGGGTATCTCGCTTTCCCTCACCTTGTCTCGTTTTCCCTAACCATAAAACAGGGGCGATGCTCCAGTTATAACCCCTCAGAGAAATAAACATTAGACGGTTGTCTAAAGCCAAGGAATCCTTGACTTCCAGGGCTTGACTTCTGCTTGGGGGAAAAGCACCCCAGTAATGCAGAAGAAGGAATAACTTAATAAGGGCATGAATAGTTCCTGCTCCAACTATTAAAAACGAAGTCATGTCGGATTAATAAAAACCCGCAAAAATAACTGCATGGTGGAAGGATGGTGACCAGGAAGGTGCTGACAGCTTTAATTATTCATGTTTTCATTACCAGGTTATATTGGATTTCCATTAATTTAATTAGCAATGTCTACAGTTAAAGCATCTTTGTCTCCTACTGTACTGATAAATGTAATGAATGCCCAGGAGGCGTTGGCAGTGTCTCTGTTAGCACTTCTGCTATTGCCCTGCAGCAATGATCTCTGTAACCCCCATCCTGAGAGGAGAATATTCCGCGGGTGGGAACACTTGTACAATACACAGTGGCAGAAAATTACCATGTGTGGCCACACTTCGCTCCTAGGATGAAGGGAAAGCCCCTTTCTGCATTCAACAGAGACACGTTCTATTTAGATGAGAGGCACCAAGTTCCAGTTTGCAATATGTAATTTAGACACTAAGCATTAACTGGACAAGATCAAATGATCTGAAAAGAGCCCTGCAGCATAAAGCCAGGTGTAGTTCCCAGGTTAGACCTCGCACGCTGATGGTTTTTCTTAATTATTCCTGACAGTTTTCCAATAATCCAGAGAGATTCCTCCTGGAGGGGAGGAGATTCAAATGAGAATGGAATATTAAGTGCTTGCTTTCTCATATGTGACCGTCACCATTTAATCACATAAGGCTCAATCATGACCCCTCTTATGTGGCTGTGCAAGGGAGAAAGGGGGTGTGCAGAGGCCCCTTCCTCCCCTTCATGGGGAATCCACGTTACCAGAGGGGAGGAGTGGAGAGCAGATCCTGTCAGGCTGTTATGCCCGCTCCTGCACAGCTGGGTGGGGAGTTGGCAAAGCTCCAATTTCTGTGACGATGAATAATAATACTTAGCTGTTGTGCACACCTCCCATCTGCTAATATCCTGGTGTTTTACAAACACCAGTGACTTTAGCCTCCCCCCATCCCCTGGAGAGAGGTCAGCGTTACCCTCACTAGACAGATGAGGAAGCTGAGATGTGGGGTGACCTGTTCAGGTTCACACAGGGGTGGTCTGTAGCAGAGCCGGGAACAGAACGCAGATATCTAGACTCCCGGTTCTGTGCCTCAACTACACACACATGACCCTGCCCCTCTCAGGGGAAAACATTTAGGAACAAAAGTAGCTGAAATGTTGATTTTTATTTAACTTTTCATCCTTAGTTGATAAAACATCTTGAAGTGAGTGATCTATGTTATGGTGTGGGCTTGGTAGCAAACAAAACCATTTCTGTTATAACCGGCTTTTCCTTGCTCATAACTTTCTGCACATTTCATTTGGGTTTTCGTTTTCCGTGCTTTCTCTTGTCCAGAAGATACTTGGGGTGGTTGTTTTTTGTTTTGAAGTCTGTGGAAAATCCCTTGAGTAATTTACAAGTTAGGTGAGGTGGAAAAAATATTCTTTCCATATGGAAAACCAACCCAAACCAGCCTCTTGCCCTGCTTGAAAGGGGCTGGACTGAGAAGCTTGCTGGTACTGGAGAGTGTCCATGACTGAGCTTGGAAAAGTTGGTTGGATGATGATAAACTTGTATGGGATTGAAAGATCAGTTTTGAATGAGCTCAGAGTACAGCCAGTACCGTTGTGTGTTAGACGTTCTTTCTAAAGCACTTCGAGATCCTTGGGACAAAAGGAATTTTCGCCAGGGCCCCTGTCTGTGGAGTTTGCTCCTTGTAGTGTATCACCAGTGTTTCTTTAGCATTTAGAGCTGAATCTGGCAGTCAGGAGCCTTGGCATTCTGTTTCCAGCCCTACTATGTGATCTCAGGCATGTTTCTTAGGATGGGATTTCCAAAAAGCGCTCAGTATTACATAACTCTGTTCCCACTGCAATCAGTGCTAAAACTCCCATCAACTCCAATGGGAGCAGAGTTAGACTGATGCTGCTTGTCCTTGAAAATTCCACCCTTAACCTCTGAATGCATCAGTTTTTGAATCTGTAAAATGGGGATAATGGGTGAACTCTTGGCCTAACTGGAGTTTTGCCACTGACTGTAGTGGGGCCAGGATTTTGCCGAGTGCCTGTTTCATGCCGTTGTTTTATGGCCTGGGGATCCTTGGCTGACCATCCATATCTTCATTATTAGGTAGAGCCACACTACAGTTGTGGGTTGTGTGATTCTTTTCACAGTTTGAGTGTGCTGTGGTCTTGCCCCACTGAAGTTCTGTCTTTACATTTGCAGAGTCTGGAGAGAGGCAAGGGACCGCATTGTTGGATTCCCTGGGCGATACCATGCGTGGGACATCCCCCATCAATCTTGGCTCTATAACTCAAACTACTCTTGTGAACTGTCCATGGTGCTGACTGGTGCTGCCTTCTTTCATAAGGTAAGAGCAAGTGGTCAGAGAGAACCCAGTCTCAGTACTCCTTGGCCAGCTCTCAGCTTTGCTTTTCCTTTTTAGAGTAGCCTGAGTTTTCGATTAAAAAACTATTGCCAGAATTGACCATTCCTTCTCTCCTGCATCTCAGATTCTCAACATAAGCTTCATTAATCACTGCAAACGGAAACCCTGCTGAAGAAAGGTTAATATATACGTGTCCCAAGAGATGCGGCTTATTTGAGGAAAGATGCATAGAATGGTTCTGAGCTGAGGGAGAGAGACTGAGCATGTGGCCAGTTCAGTTGCGGCAATTCTCTTAGATGCTGTGATGCCAGCCATCAAAGTGTTCAGGTCTTCTCTGGGTTGGCTTAGTGATTTGTTATTGCACTGCCCTGCCATGCAGGAGTCTGGGTTCAGATGCCCAGCCCTGGATTGTTGCTCCCAGTCCTTAGGAATCTGCAGAATGTCCATAAAAGCTCACTGCTGTGACACCAACAATAGCTTACACACCTGTGTACTTAGCACCCTTCACGATGGAGCCACAAAGCATTTCACTAATGAAAAACTAAGGTTCAAAGCTAGGGGAGTTGGGCTCCTAAATCTCATTGGTTTTAATGGGACTTAGGATTCCAAATCCCTCAGGCAGCTTGGAAATCACAGCCCCAGGTTCTCCCAGCAAAGAACAGCTAAAATTAGCAGCAACCCTATTTTGGAATCTAATTTTATGCATCCCGAGTGTGGCAAGGGGTAACAGGGTCACCACAGAAACTCTGGCTCCTGTGGTTACCAGATGTAAAAGAATCCTGAAGTGGGCTCAGAAGCTAGAAAGGTGATAGTTAAGTTGATTTGTATCTGAGGCTACTGCTATAAAAAGAGGGGAGTTGGGGACAGATGCAGAGAGCTCCATCAGGTGTTCAGAGCCTTCTTCCTTCCTCCCCGTCTGGGGAAGGCAGTGGAGAACAAAGAGACTATTTGTATCCTTTTGGGTCAGTGAGGGGCTAGGTCTTTAAAGGGCTCATTCTGTACCATCATGCTTTGCTGGGAAGGGACCAAGATGCAGCAGAAACATTGTGTAGACTGACCAGCAAGATTTGAGGTGGCCATGTGTGTCCGGATTGCAATGGAGTGGGATCCCAGGAGTTGCAGGTCTGTAATGGCAGCCATGGGGTGGCTTTGCTGCTACTCTGTGAGTGAATGAAGCAGAACTTCTCTTGGAGATAAATCCTACCCCCAGCATTGTTCTGGGGATCCTTTCCATTGACTTCAATGGGCTTTGGATCAAGCCCATAGCTAGTATGTCACTAGCTGTCTTGGGTCTGTTTTACTGTTGAATGTTTGTTTGTTTCAGTACTACGCCTACCTGTATTCTTACGTGATGCCACAAGCCATCCGTGACATGGTCGACGAATACATCAACTGCGAGGATATTGCCATGAACTTTCTAGTCTCTCACATCACAAGGAAACCACCCATCAAGGTAAAGCAGTAGATGGGAACCTTGTACAGTGCTTCTGATTTCAGGAGAAATAGTTATTTATTCTGATCTGTTAGAAATGCACCTATCTTAGCTCTGTGTACCTAGGCCCAGGGACTAATGTATCCAATAGTGAGAGTGAGACGACCAGCCCCAAGAGACTTTCCACTGAATAAGGGAAACCCAGCTTGGATGCACCTTGCAGCACTCAGTAGGGGTAGTCAAACGGGCTGGAACAGATCAGTGAGAAGCCACGCCTCAAGTCCCCTAGAGCTGGGGGACTGTTTGCATGTCTCCCTGCTGCTCTCCACTGTAGGAACAGTTTGTCTCTGAGACCAGCAGGACCCAGACCAGGGAGGGCTAAAGGGATCAGAGTTAATAGCTTTAGTCCACTTGCTTCCCGAGAGGCTCGGTAAGTGGTCTTGCACCTTTCTTTAAGTTACAGGCACAAGCAGGGGATGCAATTCCTTGTTGTTATTAGGGTCTGTAGAGTCCTCTAGCACCTTTAGGCCCATTTCTGCACCAAGCGCTGTATGTTCTGTCATCACAGGCCATCTGCTGTGGAGCGTGTCTCTGCGGAGCCTCTGATGCTGCAATATGTCTCATCCTACTATAAACTGGAGATCCTAGGGTCTAGTTTCGCACTCGGGTGGAGAGAGGTAATGAGGCTATTGGGACCTGATTCCACTGAAGCACAGTCCCAGAAAACAATGGGCTCTGCCCCTTGTGTAAAGGTGTTGTTGGGTGTCCAAATTGAGACACATTAAAGGGGACTGATTTTCAGAGGGGAGGGTACTCAGCACTTTCCGAAAATCGGATGTTTCATGATATCTCAGGTTGAGCACCCCAAAACAGAGGCACTCAGGATCACTAATTCCTCCTGAAAAAGCAGGCATGTATCTGCAGTCCCCAAAGGAACAGAGCCTACCCCAGAGAGCGTCCATCTCAGTTCAGCCATCCGTCTCCCTTAGGGTTCAGCACTGGCACCTATCATCATAGCGTCTCGGCATCTTAATGCAATGAATGATGGCAAGGAACAATGAGGGGGTGGAAGGATGGGCTGGTGCTTAGTATGTTGCATGTGCTTCATAGGGCTCCCTTTTTATTCTGGCCTTGGAATCTAGGAATCTCTTTTGTTGTTAACTTATTACCTGTTCCTTTAGAACACAATCAGGCATGGACTCTGGACACCGTTCTGTTCAATACTGTGTCTGCTCAGATATACAGACTTGAGCTCAGATTCCATCATTCCCAGCTCCATGTACTGTAATCTGAAAAGACAAGCAGCATCGTCCGAGCACTGTGCTGGAAAACTGGTCTCCAGCACTCTAATCCAAGGATTGCCGCTGTCTCACTTAGTACCTCGGTGTCTCAGTTTCAAAGCACTTATGCTAAGCAATAGCAGTGGCCAATGAAATAAGTCCAGCAAACTCCCTAAACCGTAATATACCAGAACTTGCTTAGTTGTAGCCTTTGTAAAGTTCTGACTACTTAGCAATCAGTAAAGTTTTTGTTAAATACCCAACCCTCCTCTAAAGCTTGGTGACTGACCTATTTTTAATTCTTTCCCTGAAGCACCCTCCCAAACCCCTCAACACAAAACATCTTAACTAACCACTCTTTCAAAATCAAGAATTCCCTTTTAAAGCTACGTGCATTATATATAACAGAAGTCCCAGCAGCCCTTTCTCATTTGAGTTTACACATTAGGCCTTTCAGGCTTTAATTCCAACAGCATCACCTCTTGGTAAATTCACTGCAGGATGATAGTGAAGTCCCTTTTAAGGCTAGATTTTTTTTCTTTTAGGAGTGTGGAAAGTAAAGAGCTGATGGAGTCTTTATTAGGAGGTGGGTCGCATGCTTTTGAATCCACACCTGCTTTTTTCCCAGCATTATTTACTTGGACTCCCAACGATCTCTGTTTTCTTCTTTTGTATGGAAGATTCCCCATCTGTTGTAGGAAACAGGGAAATTGCACAGTAATTCACCCAGTTCGGGGGGACCCTTCCTACTCTTGTCTTTCCGACACTGGGTGGTTGTTAGCTATAGTCTGTCTGATAATGATCAACAAGTCTTGATCATTGCTTCGGCCTTTCAGATCAGCTGTGTAGCTAGATGATTTGGTGGGTGCTGGACCAGCTGCTTCATCTAGGAGTCGTGTAGAGCTGCAGGGCATTCTGTCTCTCTGCATTAACAGCTGGTCTGCTTTGGGTTATGGCAACTGCTGGGCAGAGAAAGGTGAAGGCTGGGAGACTAGTGTCTGTAGTGATCTCCCGCAGTACCTAGACTACATAGACCAGGCTCATCCACTCACCGTCTGCATGTCGACGTGTCCTTCTCTCCTGGCATCTCTACTCTCACTTCCTCCTCCTACCTCCTGGAGCCTGAGCATCCCTCTGATCTGAGCCCTTTGTTACCTCTACCCATCTCCTCTTGGGGCCTTCTTCCATGCTGCCCCCTACTTTTGGAACAGCTTCTTCCTCCAGGCCCCTCCTCAAAACGTATATACTGTCTTCCACAAAGCCCTTCAGAAATCATCTCTGCCAACAAAGTCTTACCCCACCTCCTGTCCCTGTGCCACTCTGTGTCTTAGCTCCACGGTCTGTATCTGAGCCCCTAGAAGAGCCTCACATCAGGTGCCATGTGGTTGTCTTTGTACATGAAGCATCAAGCGTGCTGCTGGGATTTGATAAGTGCTTGTCTGGGTGCGTGTGGGCTCCAACCCTCATATCAAGCCATGACGTCATTTAGAGCTGACCAGGATGAAGAATCTGTGTTGAGGAGAAGGGGGCCAGGCAGCAGAGATGCACTGGCAGGGGCACTGGGGGGGAGGAGGAAAGGGGAACAGAGCAGATGGAGGGGGGAGGGGAATGAAGCGCAAATGGAAGTGGCATGATTAGCATTTTCAAAAGCACTTATTGCAGCTAAAAATAGATTTTCCCCCTTTCCTGACATTCCTTTCCCATGGAAGCCACGGCTGGGGATGCCAGATGGCTCTTATGGAATGAGCAGAGGGAGGGGAGGGGAGGGGTGCATATGAGACGGGCTCCCCAATAAAGTCTGGTCCATGCTGTGGAAAAGTTGGAGGAAGTTACTAGCTGTGGGGTTCAGTTCAGGCCAGAAATGCTGCAAGGAACTTCCTTTCATGCTTTTGTGACACACGCTGCTCCCCTCTCACCCAGAGATGCTGGAGAGCAGGGAACAGTGGGAGGGAACCAAACGTTTTAGAGCCATCAGGGAAGACTCTGATTTCTCCTAGAAATAAGACAGAGGCTTGGGGTGAGACTGATCTCTCTGCCCCCTGCCCAAACTTTGTCTCCCATTCCTAGAAATTATCTGTTTTCTTCCTTACTTGTTCATGTCCCTTCCATATATTTCAGTCAGAGGGTCAGATTGCTGGGAGCCTGCCTGCCACAGGGAAAGGAGCCTGTCATCTGCCAATGGCTTCTCTTTGAGCTGCCATATCCTCTAATCTTGGATCTCTTTCGTGACGTAGGAAGGGGCGCAAGTGTCATTCCATAACCTGAGACTCTTTCCCAGCAGTATAACCCAGAGATTTCCGAGTAAGGATACTATCTGTGTATCTTAAATGCTTATAGAGCCGAACTGCCAAAAAGACAGACTTTTCAGTGGTACATTGCGGGCTCTCCTGGTGGCAGGAATGGCTCAGAAATGTCAGCCTCTGATAGTGTGAGTAGGATGGATTCCCCAGGAAAAGGACTGGAGAAATGAACTGAAATAATCAAATAAATAAAACTTCTGTGAGCTCAGTCTGTGCCTTCTATCTAGGAAGTGTTCTCCTGGCTCTCATCGGTGTAATGGCGGAGTGCTTCCCTGGTTAATCAAATTGCTCAAGCAAGATCGCTGGGGCATGTGTGTTTGGGGGGAGGCCAAATCTAATGAAATTGTAGCTCCAATTTTAAGGGAGCCAGGTAAACCGTGCCATACAGATGAGCCGGCATGGCTGGTAGGGAGCAGGGTCTGTGTGTGCTTGTGCTGAATTTTCTAGCGTCACAGATCAGAAGTAGTGATTCAGTGTATCGGTGGGGTTAGTGCCTTTCACCTCCGGAGACCTAGACATGCATGCAGCAGGAAGAGTCAGTGTGATGTTGTAGTACCTACTTGAAGCTCTCCCATCAGAGGCTGTGATACTGTCTCAGCTCACAGGCTAAGCAAGTTAGGATCTGGTCAGTACCTGGATGGGAGACCTAAAAGGAAAGCCCAGCTGCTGAAGGAAGTGGTGGTGTTCAGTCTGTGTACTGAATGCATGGCTTTCCTGAGGCTTATGCTGCTGGAGGGATGGCCTTTAGTGAGGCGACAAGCCCAGGTCCTGATCACAGTGCTCAGCTAAAAGGTCTTGTTTGGGGCCATTAGAGAACCTGTTTTTCACATGAGTAGGGTTGCCATAAACTCCTCCCTTGTGTTTTCAGTTGGCAGCTGTATTCCTCTTCACTTCCTCTACTAGCCTTTCTGTGGTTGCAGCCTGCTGGGAAGCTGCTGTTGCACATCAGTGATTGCTGGATGCGTTGCTCTCTAGGGAGCTTCGGAGCAGGCTGTCAGATGATGCTGTTTGTTCCTCTGAATATAGAAGTAGGGATATATTACCAACCACCTGACCAGGATGGTGATAGTGACTGAAATGCTCAGGGAGATTAGAGCGGTTATTCAAATAAAAAACTCAACAATAATGGGGGATTTCAACTATCCCCATATTGACTTGGTACATGTCACCTCAGCACAGAATGCAGAGATAAAGTTTCTTGACAGTTTAAATGACTGCTTCTTGGAGCAGCTAGTCCTGGAATCCACAAAAGGAGAGGCAATTCTTGATTGAGTCCTAAGTGGAACACAGGATCTAGTCCAAGAGGTAAATATAGCTGGACTACTTGATACTAGTGACCATAATATAATTAAATTTAACATCCCTATGGTGGGGAAAACACTACAGCAGTCCAACACTGTAGCATTTAATTTTAGAAAGGGGGAACTACACAAAAATGAGGAGGTTAGTTAAACAGAAATTAAAAGGTACAGTGCCAAAAGTGAAATCCCTGCAAGCTGCATGGAAACTTTTTAAAGACACCATAACAGAGGCTCAATTTAAATGTATACCCCAAATTAAAAAACATAGTAAGAGAACCAAAAAAGTGCCACTGTGGCTAAACAACAAAGTAAAAGAAGCACTGAGAAGCAAAAAGGCATCCTTTAAAAAGTGAAAGTTAAATCCTAGTGAGGAAAATAGAAAGGAGCATAAACTCTGGCAAGTAAAGTGTAAAAATATAATTCGGAAGGCCAAAAAAGAATTTGAAGAACAGCTAGTCAAAGACTCAAAAAGTAAAAGCAAAAAAAATTTTAAGTACATCAGAAGCAGGAAGCCTGCTAAACAACCAGTGGGGCCACGAGATGATCGAGATGCTCAAGGAGCACTCAAGGATGATAAGGCCATTGTGGAGAAACTAAATGAATTCTTTGCATCGGTCTTGATGGCTGAGGATATGGGGAGATGCCCAAATCTGAGCCATTCTTTTTAGGTAACAAATCTGAGGAACTGTCCCAGATTGAGGTGTCATTAGAGGACGTTTTGGAACAAATTGATAAATTAAACAGTAATAAATCACCAGGACCAGATGGTATTTACCCCAGAGTTCTGAAGGAACTCAAATGTGAAATTGCAAATGTGAAACTACTAACTGGTATGTAACCTATCATTTAAATCCGCTTCTGTACCAAATGACTGGAGGATAGCTAACATGACACCAATTTTTAAAAAGGGCTCCAGAGGTGATGCCAGAAATTACAGGCCAGTAAACCTGACTTCAGTATTGGGTAAACTGGTTGAAACTATAGTAAAGAACAAAATTGTCAGACACATAGATGAACATAATTTGTTGGGGAATAGTCAACATGGTTTTTGTAAAGGGAAATCATGCCTCACCAATCTACTAGAATTCTTGGAGGGGGTCCACAAGCATGTGGACAAGGGGGATCCAGTGAATATAGTGTATTTAGATTTTCAGAAAGCCTTTGACAAGGTCCCTCACCAAAGGCTTTTAAGCAAAGTAAGCTCTCATGGGATAAGAGGGAAGGTCCTCTCATGGATTGGTAACTGGTTAAAAGATAGGAAACAAAGGGTAGGAATAAGTGGTCAGTTTTCAGAATGGGGAGAGGTAAATAGTGGTGTCCCCCAGGGGTCTGTACTGGGACCAGTCCTATTCAACATGTTCATAAATGATCTGGGAAAAGGGGTAAACAGTGAGGTGGCAAAATTTGCAGATGATACAAAATTACTCAAGATAGTTAAGTCGCAAGCAGACTGCAAAGAGCTACAAAGGGATCTCACAAAACTGGGTGAGTGGGCAACAAAATGGCAGATGAAATTCAATGTTGATAAATGCAAAGTAATGCACATTGGAAAACATAATCCCAACTATACATATAAAATGATGGGGTCTAAATTAGCTGTTATCAGTCAAGAAAGACCTTGGAATCATTGTGGATAGCTCTCTGAAACATCCACTCAGTGTGCCACAACAGTCAAAAAAGTGAAGAGAATGTTGGGAATCATTAAGAAAGGGCTAGATAGTAAGACAGAAACTGTCATATTGCCTCTGTATAAATCCATGGTACACCCCCATCTTGAATACTGCGTGCAGATGTGATTGCTCCATCTCAAAAAAGATATATTGGAATTGGAAAAGGTTCAAAAAAGGGCAACAAAAATGATTAGGGGTATGGAACAGCTTCAATATGAAGAGAGATTAATAAGACTGGAACTTTTCAGGTTGGAAAAGAGATGACTAAGGGGGGATTCGATAGAGGTCTATAAAATCATGACTAGTGTGGAGAAAGTAAATCAGGAAGTGTTATTTACTCCTTCTCATAACACCAGAACTAGGGGCCACAAGAATTAATAGGCAGCAGGGTTAAAACAAACAAAACGCAGTATTTCTTCATACAGCACACAGTCAACCCATGGAACTCTTTGCCAGAGGATGTTGTGAAGGCTAAGACTATAAGAGGGTTCAAAAAAGAACTAGATAAGTTCATGTAGGGTCCATCAGTGGCTATTAACCAGGATGGGCAGGGATGGTGTCCCTAGCCTCTGTTTGCCAGAAGCTGGGAGTGGGTGACAGGGGATGGATCACTTGAGGATTCCCTGTTCTGTTCATTCCTTCTGGGGCACGTGGCATTGGCCACTGTCGGAAGACAGGACACTGGGCTAGATGGACCTTTGGTGTGACCCAGCATGGCCGCTCTTCTGTTCTGTTCCCAGGTGACCTCGCGCTGGACCTTCCGCTGCCCTGGCTGCCCTCAGGCCCTTTCGCACGACGACTCGCACTTCCACGAGCGGCACAAGTGCATCAACTTCTTCGTCAAGGTGTACGGGCACATGCCTCTCCTGTACACCCAGTTCCGCGTGGACTCCGTCCTCTTCAAGACCCGCCTGCCTCACGACAAGACTAAATGCTTCAAATTCATTTAGGACGGGATCGTGGGGGGCCCCTTCGGCACTCTGGGCACGGGCGAGAGGCGGAGGGGTGGCAATCTGCGCCGGGTTCTGAGTGAGGAACGCCCCCAGTACGGGCTGCGACGGAAAGCCAAAGGGGAAATCACGGATTCTAATCAATACTTTCTGCCCGCCCGCCCCAGGGTAACTGCGCCGCGTTAAATGGAACCGGCCCATCTGACCTGCGTGAAGACACTGGCTAGGATCGTACGCCGAGGAACTGGAGACTTTGGTTCGTAGCTCAGCTAGTCCATTAGCCAGGGGCGACCGGTTTCTACATGCTTGTTATTTAAAATGAAAGTGTTTTAGATTTGCCGAGTGAGGCTTTTTTTTTTTTTTTTTAAAGCCGGCCTGTCTATCCTGCGGGGGCGGGGCGATTCCCAGCCCCCAAGCAGCTCTTGCGTCTGTCAATTGTCCTCTGTGCTAACTCGTTTCGGGGCAGGGGTACAGTCACTCTCTTGCTTCCCCTCCCTGTTTCGATCGGCCCAAGTTATAACGAGCCGGTGCAAGCAGCGGGCCGTGCTCCTCAGGTGCGATGCCTCTGGTTTATCTTCCTCTCTGGCTACTGAGGCCTTTCCGGCGTCACATCGATGAACTCACCTCCCCTGTCAGACCCCCGCCACCCTCCCCACCCACCGCCTTCACCTCACAGCCCAGAGAGGGAAGGGCAGAGAGGGGGGGTTCCAGAGGTTCCCTCCCCAACTGACTTTCCCGGCTCCTAGCACCAGATTTACGAGGCGGCCTTGTCCACCTGTCCTTCAGCTGGCTTCAGCTGCCACACTCTGTTCAGGGATTCGGTTACCGCTGCACACACCCAACCTGCACTTGGAGTTCCAGCCCAGTTCCTCTCCGCCCTGATCTCACTCATTTCCCTTCCTGCTCCTCACTGCACGAACACTATTAACCTTCAGCCACTCTGACAGCCTTGGCTCCTGTTTGGGGATCTTAAACCTTGCTTCTGTGGTAACAGACGTCTGCAGTAACCAGGGTGAGTGTGATCTGGGGCGATCCTGAGGCCCTGTGGTTTTCCGAAGCCTGCTTAGTTGTAAAGGGAGCTTGGTTTAAATTGTCTCTATTTTGGCCTTTCAGCAAGGGCATCAGGAACGCTCCCCATCCTCTAGGGGCTTCATTTGCTGGAGCTGGAGATCTGTGCCAAGAACGGCACAAGATTCACTCCAAAGGCTCCAGGGCGTCATCGTTAACGGAGTAAAAAAGGCAGGTGCTGCTTATTCAAAACCCTAGGGGGATGGTCACACGCACAAGCCTGGTGGGAGCAGCTTCTTCCCCAGGGTGGCAGAGGGAGCTGGCCATTGCTTTGCTAATAGGTGCATGGGGAGGCAGGCGTGTTATATGGTTCGTCTACACTGGAATAAAAGATCTGCAGCATGGCCATGGTTGGCCCAGGGCACCTGACTGGGGCTTCCAGGCCTCAGGCGGCAGGGCTAAACATTGCTGGGTAGATGTTTGGGCTCAGGCGGGAGTCCAGGTTCCGGGATCCTTCCCTCTCGTGGGGTCCCAGAACTTGGTTTCCAGCCCAAGCCCAAACATCTACACAGCAATTTTAGCGCCCCGCAGCTGGAGCCAGCTGGCCCAGTCTGGCTGTTGGTGTTTAATTGCTGTGTAGATGCACTCAGAGAAGCTGGTTTCGGTGAGAGGGCGCCGGTGGTGGTGGTGAGCAGGGCTTCCCACTGCCCTGCCCCTCAGAACTGGGGGCTCAGATTCAGTAGGACTTACTCTGCTTCTCCTTCTGGGATTGTGTCAAATGCTGCTCTGGTCTTCATGGGGCAGCGGGGAGAGAATACATCCCCCCTCTGAGCGTTACACAGCTTTAAACTGCCAGGAGGACCTAAGTGAAGTACCAGCGGGACTGGCTGCTTTACAAAGCCACACCTGCCATGGTATACTCACTTGCCTACACCCCCCAGGGCAGTCAGATAAGACAGCCATGGGCTTCAGTGTTCCTGCCTTAAAATCTCCCCTCCTACACGTGCACACACCCCCCGCCACAGCAGGACACACACACAAACACACTGCTGCAGGACGGCTCTTCCTCCTTTGGCGGTGATCGCACTGGAGTTTAAAACAAACTCCTCCTCCTGCAGAATTTGGGAGGGTCTCTTGAACCTCACTGTTTTCTCCACTCTGAGCCTGCTCATCTTCCTCTGAAGCAAACTGCCCTGGATCTGTCCGTGGTGCTCTGTGACCCTCCCTGGCATCTGCACCCTTCTTGCTGCTGCGGTTTCTTTTTTTTGTTCCCTTGCCCTCGGCAGCGCACTCATTCATTTCCCATAATGCAAGAAAGGACCCCACAGTTCTTCTTTTCAGAACGACCGTGCCACTTCAATTGTTCTACTTGATTTTTAACGGCAGCCTGCAGAGGGTAAAGTAGCCGCGTCCCAGGAGCGCTCTCTGTATGTATTAATTGTCCCCCGTTGCCATCTAAAATCATCCTTAATATTATCCCGTCATCTCCCTGACCCTGATTCTTGCCAGTGCTGGATCCAGATCTAAAGTGCCACCCCAACTACCAGAGTTTCTCAGCCATGTGGAGCGAAACAAAGGGGTTTCGTGTTCCACTGCTGTGTTTCTACAGGTCCTTTGGACAGGCCTGAAAGCAGCCAGCACCAGCCATGCCAAGACCACCTTCCTCTTCCTTTCTGGGTACATTCCTTCTGACCGCTGGTACTGGGAAACACCCCTGCACATCCTGCTGCTCTTCAGAGGAGTTGTGCCTGCAGAACTGTGTGTGAGAGTGATGCCACTGACCATCAGCAAAACAGTGTCACTGCTCTCCACAAATCCACCCAACAGAGACCAAGATACCTTCCTCTTACCGTTAGTAACCAGAGCGGGTTGGTTATTATGGTAGTTGCAAAGCTTTCAGAGGGAAATGTGACTGGGTCCCTTTAACAATAGGGTGCCTTTTTCCAAACTTTCCTGGGGAGGGTTGGTTGTCGGGGGCGGGGCGGGGCAGGGGAAGGAACTGCCCGCTTCTTATTTGCCCCCTGGTCAGTTTGTTGTTCCTGTTGTGATCTGCGATGTTACAGAATGGGAGCCTGTCGGAGCAAGGATCGATGAGCCAGCTCCTGCAAGATTACAAGCAATGCCCATTTTTATGGAGCAATCTGCCACATACCCCTCTCTTCCCCGTCTCGGTCTAGCTATCGGTGCATTTGGCATATAATCAGTAAGGTAACTGACCTGGTACTTGAACTGTTATTTTGATTGTCTTTAAAGCTGAGCACTATAGCCACATATCTCATTTTCAGTAGCTTACATCAAGTCTCCAGTACGGTTAGTTGAGAGGTACATGATCAGCTGCACATGGCTGTATTTTAGCTGATTGTCCATGTGAACCCCGCAGAAGATCTGAGCCCCATGGTGGAAACTCCCCCGCTACCTCTCCACTGTGCGGGTAACTGCTACCCATCATGGCATGCTGCTAAGGGCAATGCTCCTGTTTCCAGGAGAGCAGAGGACATGTCACTTTGTATCTTTCCATGTTTTCCAGCACTGTGGAGTGTAATGAAACAAGATCAATTTTTTTTTTTAATTTGTTTTTAGCCACAAAAATATCAGGCTATCGAAACAAACCTTTTGAAGGGTAACAGTCCTTAAAAATGCAACCAGTGACCATTGATAGACAGTGAAGGAGCCTGTGACATCATCTTTCTGCTCCCTCATGGTGCAAAAGTAGCACAAGACTGTTAGCAAATGTACCGGACTCCTCATTGGCAGGAATGATCCTGAATACCCATCCCTACAGACAAGTCTTAAGCTCACCGAAAAGAATCGCAAACCTTTCTGCTGTTGTCTTCATTAATTCTCCTCTCGTGAGGTTGGACCTAAAGAAGATGCTTTTGACAGCAGCATAGGTATTTGTGTGGGATGTAGATCCTCTTCCATCCCACAAAGATGTAGCTCACTCCCTCAGCTCTCTCCCTTACACGACCCCGCAGGAAACAAGCAAGAATTTAAAATGGAGATGAATGCAGACTGTGGATTGCACTTTATAACAAAAATTGTAAAATGTGTATATATATATAAAAAAAACTTGTGATCAAATTATTTTCAAAATCTTCGGGGCGATTTTATTATTCCAATGATTTTATTATTTTCCAGGCTGAAATATACCAAGCTCGAAGAAGTGTGTAATAATCAAAGATGGGTGTGGTGTTGATCTATTTGCATTGCTGGTGGGTTTTTTTAAATGTTATTACTACTTTGCTGGTATTATCAGACCCACCAGCCACGAGGCACGGCTGCCGTTCGACACGCTGAGCCAGCGACCTAACAGATTGTCATGACAAGCAGCTGTGCTGCTCTGGCAAGCTGAAGCCTCAGAACAGGAATTCTGGCAGCTCAAAATCTAAAACTCTGTGTGTTGGTTTGCTACTGGATGTTTATTTACATCCATTTATTTTATTATTTTTTAAAGCCAGTCAAATGTATAAATTAAAGGTTGAAAACCAAACTGTTCTGGGCCTTCCCCGCCCCGTCCCATTCCCCCGTCCTTCATCGGTGTTGCAAATGCTCTTTCCCTTCCAAAGGGAGGAGATCGCTCGTATCTCCTTGCAAGGCTGTTGCAGTTGGGCTCCCAGCTGTGTTTTTTGGTCTGGTTTATTGTGGTCCTACATGCCAGGTGTGAAAGGAACAGACTACAGGCTGCGGTGGCTGTATCTCCTTCCGGAGGTAATGGACCAGTTTCGTCCCTCTGTAACTCCAAGGGTGACATGGGTCCCACTTGTCCACCTTGCGACTCTGTCCATTGCCGATTGTAAATCAGGTCGTTCGCCTTACTGCAAGGCAGCCTTGCAGCTTGGTTTCAGCAACTATCGCAACAGACTCACCCCCATTATGCAGGCTAGGAACGGTTGTAAACTTCTCCCTAATGCCAGCCATTGGTGCTGGTCAGTGCCATACTGGTTGGTGGTGCCTTTTCACCTGCAGAGCAGCATACGGTGAAAAAAGCAGCCGTTTGGCTTTTGGAGGCTGAACAGTATGATGCCTGCTGGCCAGGCAGTGCAAGGCCGGTAACACCAGGGTGAGTGTCACTCTGCCAGCTTACTGCAACCTGTATTTCAACAGCTGCTATCAGGACGGGTGAGGGAGTCAGAATTAGCCAATCAGCTGCCTCGTTATATTTCAGGCAAAGCAAATTTCTCACCAAGCATCGTTAGGGGTTGGGGCACAAGCAGTCCAAAGCCAGCACGTCTCCAGCGTCTACTGGCACGATGACTCCCCGTCGCTCTAATCCACCATCCACCACTTCTCCCCTCTTTGGGCCATAAGCAATGCAGTCCCTTTCTCTCTGCTCCTTAACATGGGAGTGGGCATTTGGGCCAGAGGGTTCCCTGGTAATGAAGCAAGGTCTTTCTCGTGTCACGTGTGTGGCTGTACATGTCCACTGTAAATAGCATCTTCTACTTCAGTGGAATCCAACTGACTGTATATTGTTACTGTATCATCTTTTGGGTTAACTCCCATTGTCCTCACAGTGGATCCCAAACTCTCCCCCAGCCCCGTGTTTGTGTTAACTGCTCTGTGAGCATCAGGTTTTAAATGGTTGTAAAATATTTAAAAAAAAAAAAAAAAAAGGAAGAAAAAGCCCCTCTGACACGAGCACAATATTCGTATGTTGGATTTTGTAAAAGGATCAAATAAACAGAGCGTTTAACTTGAGTGTATTTGTGCGTCTTGCTCACTGATTGGGAAGGACCAGTGGGCAGAAGAACAGACATTAAGGGAGCTGCAGGTAAGGGGGAGACCAGAATGGTTCACTTCTACGCACTATGGGCAACATCTGCCCCAAACCGACCGATCCAGGCACCTATTACAGGTCTTGGGAGGGTCAGCCTTGCAAGAGAGAGCACCCAGTGGCTGTCGCACCAGCACTCAGGCTTACTTGACCTGTGCTCCCAGAGACATGCATGGAGTGGGAAGGCCAGTGTGCCGACCATTAGAAAGCCAAACCAGGTGAGCGCAATTATCTCTGGTCCTTGTAGCACAGACATCATTCTGTGTTCAGGGCTTTTGCAAGGTAGGAACTCACAGCACAGGCTGTCCTGCTGAGGCCCCAGTCTGCCCCCCTTACCGCTGAGCAGGAGGGTTGGAGCCAGACAGCAAAGGGAGGTGCTTCGAATCCTGCTGTTGCTTGTAGACGTTTTCTGCTGTACCCTCTCCTGTCACCATTCAGCATTTGTGCTGTCAGCTCCAAGCCAGGAGAGGTGATGGGAGGGAGCAGGTGTGGGGTGGAGGGAAAGCAGCAGCTGGCTCAGAAAGGGAGCAACCCCCCCCCACACACACACACACCTGCACACCCTCACATTCAGAATATTGTACCATTGTCTGGTGTCTCTGCCTTGCTGGGTTTCCCATTGGAGGAGCTGAGGGCAGAGAAGGTGCTCATTGGCTGGGAGTTAAAGCCTCTGGCTAAAAGCTGGGAGCTAGATTTGGCTGGGCTGGGCCCATGACAATTGCCCCAGCTGTACAGTCCTAGGCCAGCCCTAAGGGGAACATGGTATATATGGCTGGGTCAGTATCCTAACTCCTAGGTGTTTATCTAGCTCTCCAGTCTGCTGGGTAACCATGGACCAATTACGTCAACTCCCCGTGCCTCGGTTTCCCTATTTGTAAAATGAGGCTTATGATGTTGACCTCCTTGGTAAAGCCCTTTGACACCTGCTGCTGGAAAGTGCTAGAGAGAAGCTCGGTGTATTTATTTGTTTATTGTTAGTGGGACGTTTGCCCCGTGGTAGCTTGGCCGATGGTAAAACTCCCACCTGGCTGTGACTATCTCCTGAGATCAGGGGAGTTTGGATCACGGGCGTCTTCGTGTCTGCGTCCCTTGCCCCGGCCCTCAGCATTCCAGCTGTAACCACCAAGGAATGTAAATGCCGGGGGGCTGCAGCCGGCTCCTGCCTGTGTGCCCCGGGGAGCTGGTGTGATGGCCAGACAGCCTCCAATGCAGCATGCTTTGCCGAGTTGATGGAGGGGATAGGGAGGTAGGATCGTGGCTTTCTCTAGAGTTTGATTGCCCTATGGGGATCTCCTTGGGCAGGGGAGAGGGGTGAAGAACGCCAGGATCAGCAGAGGTGAGGCTTCGGGTGCAGAATTGGGGGAAGGGGGGACAGTTGATGTGGGGATTAGGAGAACTGGATTGATGTGGTTGGGAGCAGACAGTTGCTGGGAAGGGGGATGGGCAGATGTGGGAGCCATGATAGACCTCCCCCCGACACACACACACACACACAGTGTCTCATGCCACTTCAAGCACTGGTAACACCCCCCTGCCCTAACTTCTGCCCCTGCATGTGCTGGCCTCAACTCCACAAACATTCTGCCCATCCCCCTCCAATAATTCTGCCCCCCCCCCCCCCCCCAGTTCTCCCACCCACCCACTCCCCAAGCCTCCCCGGCAGCTCCTGTGGTCCTTCCCAGGTACATGCACAGATCTGGGGGGCAGCTGCAGCAGCAGCCCCTGCTCAGGCCTCCCCATACCTGGGGGGGGGGGCGCTCCACCGGCTCATCATCCCTCCGCCTTCCCAGGCGTGGCAGGGGCAGGGCGTGGACCTGCCCCGAGTGGCTGTGTTCTTTCTGCCCCTGCCAAGGCTGTGGGCAGGTTCCCCTCTCTGCCCGGCCCCTGGTTTACCAGAGGGATCCGTGGAGTGGGAGCATTGATGACACAGCAGCAGCTGTTCTAAACCACCATTTTGCTGTGCCCGGGGGGAGCGGGGTGCGGGGGGAGCAGTGCTGTGCCCTCCTGGCCCCTTCCGCCCCCAGATCGCAGTGTGCTTTGCAAGCCAGGCTTAGGCGCAATCATCCTCGTGTTACAGGTGGGGAGGCTAAGGCACAGAGAGACCAAGAGAGACCTGGCCGAGGTCACCCAGGAAGCCAGTGCTGGAGCTGGGGAGAGAATACAGGCCTTCTGGTTCCCTATCGCCCGCTGTAACTACTGACCGAGCGTGAGCTATTGGTTAAGCGTGCAGCCGTCTGAACGCGAATGGAAAGCTAGGCAGCTTTCCGGCGCTTGCTGCAAGGCCAGGGGTAATCTATAAAGCCGGGCTGTGTTCCTGGAGCGCGTGTGCTGTGCCGCTGGACCCGTGGCTCAGAGGCGGCAGCTGCTGCGGGGAGAACTGTAGTGAGCGCACTTCCTGCCCAACTGTTCCTCATCCCCACTCTCTCCACCCCATTTCTCACCCCAGGCTATAGAACGGAGGGCGAGCCACCCAGCCGCTGCTGCTGCTACGGGCAGGAGAGGCCTGGAGCCCTGAAGGCCGGTTTCCCAATCTTTCCATTCGTAGCGAAGCCCATTCCTACACGCCTGTTCCTAGCCTGGGCACGCTGGCTTGTTCGCTGACTGGAGGGGTGCGGGGATGAGTCATAGCACAAGTCTCACCACCCACGGTATCTGGGAGGCCAGCAGGTGGGTCTTGATGGCTCAGAAGGTAGGTAAGGGGCTGTAAAGCCTTTTGTGTCTGAATCACCGGTTGAAATTGAGCCAGCAGTGACTGAAAACGACTTCCTGGGGGCTCTGCAGTGACGGGTGTGATGTGAATCATAGTGGCAGGTGCCCTGATTGCAAAAGACTCCACTACAATTAGCTGCTTTTGGTGTAGGCCTCTGCCAAAAGACCAACTGACAGGGCTGTGAAGAGGGAATCTACCCTGGTTCCTCTGTGGCCAAGGTTGAAGCAACGTCCACGATTTGGACTCAAGGAAGGTTGTCCTGCTGCTGTGCCTGTGCGAAAAAGGGAGAAATAAAGGATTTTGTCTCTCTGCAACGAAACCAGCATGGTTCTCTGTTGCTAACCCAGCTTTTTCAGTGGAGGTAGAAGAGGGATGTTTGCAGTTCAGGACCAATAACCTTGCCAAACTCAGGAGATTAGCCAAGACTGAAGTACTTTTGGGTGGGTGAAGGGAAAGGCTTGTGTCACTCTGCATGACAGCTGCCCGCCAGTTGGGGTGTACTGGGCCAGGACTCAGGCACAGCTCGGGAACAAGGTTACGCTCCCTTCTGAATGTTTTTCCATCCACCCAGACCAGCCATTGCACTGTCAGGCTAGAATCGCTTGGAAGAAAACGACACCAAGAAAAAGTCAAGAGGCCAAGAGATCAGAGGCTGGGCATGTCTCCTTTGTAATAGGCAGCAACCACAGTAGCTGTGCTCTCTGCAGGCTGGAGTACTTAGACATTCACAAGCACAGTACACGGAAAAATAGCGGCCCACACCATGCTCCCCTGCCCTGGCTGATGCTGGGACAATGACGGTGGCTAATGTGTCTGTGTCTAAAGCATGGCACCTGCCAACTTGGTCTGCTCAGTGTGGCAATCTGGTCTCCTTCAGCACAGGCTCTGAGCACGTTTGTAGGAAGGGAAATGCTAATTTACAATGTTGTTTCTTGCAGTCCATAGGGTGGGCGACTCTCACGCCTTCTCCCACCCGGCGTCCCAAGTAGCTCTCCTGAAAGGTGGTGATACAGCGGGCCCGGCTCCACAGAACTCGGAAAGTGAAGCATGGGCGCTGATTCATTAGGGCTCAGGGAGCCTGAGGGCTGGTCGAGAGGAGCTGAATAAGTGTCTGGGTTACCCAAGACAACAAGGGTAATGCCACATGTTGGGTGATGGGTGTGCAAGCTGAGGGTTGGAGCTGGGCCAGCAGGGCTGGGAATAGGAGCTGAAGCACATGGGGCCTGATCCCACCCCCCTGAAGTCTAGGGGAGTTTTGCAATTGATTTGACTGGGCTGCGTGATCAGGCTCATTGACTTCACTGGGAGCTTTCGGCCCCTTGGAATCCAGCCTTCACACCAATGCCCCATCTCCCATTCCCCTGCACATGCTCAGTGGGGCTTGGGAACGCCAAATCCTGGTGGGGCTGCCCAGCGTGGGGCTGAGTGCCGGCTTTGAGACAGCGGCCGAAGCTAAAGGAACAGCCCTGGTACCTGTGGACTGTTCCTTTCAACAGACCAAGGAAGCAATGGCCATAGTGGAGAGAGTGGTGGGGAGCACGCGGGTGCTGCCATCCCAGCTGCGGCAGGCCACCTCTTTGAAACGTTATTTTAAAAGCCGTGATTAAATACAGGAGACAAGGGGAGAAATCTGCTTGGTAGCCCCAAGGGCCTGACCTGGCTCGATGCTGCGCACCCTTCGCCCCCGCTGACACTAATGGAAAGGGAGGGGGCCGCACACCTTGCAGGACTGGGCCCTGGGATGGGGTCTGTGAAAGGGTGAACTGGAGCTAGTGAGCTCAGTTAAAGCCCCTGGTTGCACCTGGAGGGTGGCTCGGGCCTAGGGGAAGACAAAGCCCAGCTGGGTGGTGAGTACAAAGGGAGGAAGCAAAGAGGAGGAGGAGGAGGAGGCTGCAGGCTTTGGTGCCAGGTCTGTAAAGATGGTTTTTGCGGGGAGGGGAGTGAAGCCCTGCACAGGGGTGCATGGGGCAGAGTCCCTGATACTTGGGAGTCCAGGGGTGAAGCCCTCCAGGTAGGAGAGAAATACCTGCTGTGGCTCCACCATACCTGGGGGCAGCTAGGCGGGTAGCTCAGGCCCCTTCTGAGTGCTCCCCTGCCTCAGACATTGGTGCTGCTGGGCTGGCTTTGCGGAATACGCGTGGGGCCTGGGGCCCGCAGAACGCAGCCCCCGTGGCTGCCGGGAGACAGCGGAAGGACTCTGCAGTCCCTCTCTGAGTGGGCGTGAAGACTGCTGCCCCTGGGGCTTACAGCCCATCTGGACAGGCCTGAAGGAAGGCCAAGGTAGGAAGAAGCCCAGAGCAGTGGTGAGGAGTCTGAGGGAGTAGACCTTAGCTGCTTGCCATAAGGTCACTGGACTGGATCCCAGAGGAGAGAGAGTGCCTCGGTTCCCCTGCCGACCAGTGGGGAAGTTGGGGAGGAAATACCCTGACCCCCGGGGGAGAAAGACTGGTGAGTTTGGAGCCAGGCCTGCAGGGAGAAAGCCCTGAGAGGCATCACTCAGCACAAGAGCAGGAGGACAGCCCTGCAGAGCCCAGCCCCCTCTCAGCCACGGGGAGGTGGTAAGTCAATGCTTATATAGCCCCCACAGTGCCAATTCTGCGACTTGGGGATTGCTTCTATTGAAATCGATGGCAAAGCACCCGTTGACTTCAGTGGGAGCAGGATCGAGGCCTGGGTGGCTGTGACATACCCAAGGTACAACCTAGACTGTGTCAGCCCAGCCCTCTCACCTGGTTTGCCCTTAGCACTGCTTTGCTGCAGTAGCCTCCAGCACGTAAATCGTTCCCAGCTATGTCTGTCTGTGAGCTGCAGCCGGCCTGCTTCACATCGGCTCTCACTAGTCTGAATTGCACTGCCAGGTGACCAGCACACTCTGTCCTAGATTTTCCCCCAGAGCTGTATGCGCTGTACGGCCCAGCCCTCTCCTAGACAATACAAATGTGTATAGATCAGTTCTTTCATCAATGGAAATAATATGCACAGAACTTGTTACCCCAAAGGGAGTTTCCCCAGACGCACTGGATTAGATAAAACAATAACACAAGTTTGTTAACTAGACAGAGAGAGCTTTTAAGTGAGTCCAAGTCATGAGGCATAAAAGTCAGAAATGGTTACCAGAAAAATGAAGCTAAAATGCCACTGATGCCCAACATAACCATGTTCAATTCAAAGCCAAGCTTTCTCACCGCATTGCAGCACTCTGCCTGACTGAAGTTCTTTCTGTCAGGATCCGTCCCGCAGGGCAGTCTGCTTCCTTTATCCTTCAGGTGCCATGAATGCTGTGGGCAGAGAGAAAGGGAGGGGTCTTTTGGGGTGTCTTCCCCCTCCTTTGTATAGCCCTGTCTCCCCTTTGAGAAATATTTCCAGCTGGGATTCAGCAGACAGATCTGTGGATGGGAACCCCTTCCTGTTTCTTTGCTAAGATGTAGATTTTTGGCAGGAAAGGGAGCCTGGGCAAAAGAATGACTGTTTAGCAGGTGATGGCCCATTGGCCTTGTTTACACCTGGATGAGGTGTCAGCTTGCCCTTGGTCTCAGAGGAATTGGTGTGGCCCCTCCCCAGATTTAGAGAACACGTTTTAGTGACACCAGCCAGTGGAATCTCATAACTTCCATATATTGTGATCATATGCATTTTACCAGGACAATAATGACCAGCAAATTATGAGTTTCTCACACTGCACACATTGTACAGAGAGCTTTACGATAGTGTGCAAGGGGTGAATACAGGGGTACAGATGGTTGCAGGGGGTAGGACTTATTACCTTTGTTAGCCTCCACCCTTGCTCTGAGCCAAAGTCCCCACAGAAAAGAAAAAATAGCCAAGGGCAGGGGAAGAAATCTCTCTGCAGTGCCTAGAATCATAGACTATCAGGGTTGGAAGGGACCTCAGGAGGTCATCTAGTACAACCCTCTGCTCAAAGCAGGACCGATCCCCAATTAAATCATCCCAGCCACAGCTTTGTCAAGCCTGACCTTAAAAACTTCTAGGGAAGGAGATTCCACCACCTCCCTAGGTAATGCATTCCAGTGTTTCACCACCCTCCTAGTGAAAAAGTTTTTCCTAATATACAACCTAAATCTCCCCCACTGCAACTTGAGACCATTACTCCTTGTTCTGTCATCTGCTACCACTGAGAACAGTCTAGATCCATCCTCTTTGGAACCCCCTTTCAGGTAGTTGAAAGCAGCTATCAAATCCCCCCTCATTCTTCTCTTCCGTAGACTAAACATCCCCAGTTCCCTCAGCCTCTCGTCATAAGTCACGTGTTCCAGGCCCCTAATCATTTTTGTTGCCCTCCGCTGGACGCTTTCCAATTTTTCCACATCTTTCTTGTAGTGTGGGGCCCAAAACTGGACACAGTACTCCAGATGAGACCTCACCAGTGTTGAATAGAGGGGAATGATCACGTCTCTCGATCTGCTGGCAATGCCCCTACTTATACATCCCAAAATGCCATTGGCCTTCTTGGCAACAAGGGCACACTGCTGACTCATATCCAGCTTCTCGTCCACTGTAAGCCCTAGGTCCTTTTCTGCAGAACTGCTGCCGAGCCATTCGGTCCCTAGTCTGTAGCGGTGCCTTGGGTTCTTCCGTCCTAAGTGCAGGACGCTGCACTTGTCCTTGTTGAACCTCATCAGATTTCTTTTGGCCCAATCCTCCAATTTGTCTAGGTCCCTCTGTATCCTATCCCTACCCTCCAGCGTATCTACCTCTCCTCCCATGCCTAGCACCAGGACTCCAATTCCAGATATTCAGCAAACCTTAAGAAAGCAGGCCAGTTGGGGTCTATTTCAGGAGTGTCCAGCTGGAGCCCTTGAGGCTCTAAGTTATGGCCATTGACTTGCCTTTAATAAGATCCTTGATTGTAAATTGAAAATGGGCTACCTGAGCTGTGGCTTCTAAACAGCAGTGTTGGGGCAGGGGGGTAGAAGCCCTCCCTTCCCAGCTGTGGGACTACAGGGACAGCAAGGCCAGAGAGGGAGATGCCTTGATGAGCAAATGATGCTGACAGTCACCCAGCACAGCCCAGGAGAGGATGCAGGGGAGAGCAGCTGAGCTCTAGCAGCCTGATTCTCTGCTGCTCCATCGTAAATCCACTGTGGCTGGTCTGCAAGGGAGCCAGGGTACCAGCTCTGCTTGGCTGGAGCACAGCCTGGCTCAGCCACCCCGGAGCCCCCTGCGCCGGGGGCTGCAAGGAGAGAGGTGTAGGAGCCAACAGCAACTGACGTGAGACTTCTCTGTGCCGGGGGTATGGCTGGTGGGTTGTTTCCTTTCCCTTTGCACCACCCGAGCTGGAAGCAGATCCCCTCCACTCCCGAAAAGAAGTATTGATTTTGCTTTTTTTCCTTATCAACCCCCAGCCTTAATGTGTTGGCCTATAACTTCACCGTGAGGGCCCCGTTTGGCTTTGTTCATGTAATTCAGCTCCCCCTTGCTGGATTTACAAAGCTCAGAATTCAGTTGCTTGTTAGGTCAGGGTAAGAAATATCCTCTGTGGTTTTGTTTTGGTTTTCCACTTGGCCCCTTTAGCCAGCCCTTCTCTCATCTCCCCCCAAACCGTCACTTTCTCACTTTCTGTCACCGCGGAGTGCCCTAAGAACTGGCTGATCAAGTCCCCATAGATACCCGGCTTGAAGGCACCTTGTTCAATAGCAACGAAGTCTAGTTCAAATAGATCCATTTTTTGTTCTGCCTCTGGACCTACCCAGCATGCCATGGTAATTGCTGCACCCTCTGTTCAGGCACGAACGCCTCCTTGTGCTCTCCAGGGTGCAGGAGGGAAGGCAGGCAAGCCGTTGTCTAGTGCTGGAGATCAAGAACACCATCCTGGCCACTATGGATGTAGAAGCCCTCTACACCAACGTTCCACACAAAGATGGACTACAAGCCGTCAAGAACACTATCCCCGATAATGTCACGGCTAACCTGGTGGCTGAACTTTGTGACTTTGTCCTTACCCATAACTATTTCACATTTGGGGACAATGTATACCTTCAGATCAGCGGCACTGCTATGGGTACCCGCATGGCCCCACAGTATGCCAACATTTTTATGGCTGATTTAGAACAACGCTTCCTCAGCTCTCGTCCCCTAAAGCCCCTACTCTACTTGCGCTATATTGATGACATCTTCATCCTCTGGACCCATGGAAAAGAAGCCCTTGAGGAATTCCACCATGATTTCAACAATTTCCATCCCACCATCAACCTCAGCCTGGACCAGTCCACACAAGAGATCCACTTCCTGGACACTACGGTGCTAATAAGCAATGGTCACATAAACACCAGAAACCTAACGACCGCTATGCCTACCTACATGCTTCTAGCTTTCATCCAGACCACACCACACGATCCATTGTCTACAGCCAAGCTCTAAACTGGGAGGAGTGGTAGATACGCTGGAGGGGAGGGATAGGATACAGAAAGACCTAGACAAATTGAAGGATTGGGCCAAAAGAAATCTGATGAGGTTCAATAAGGATAAGTGCAGGGTCCTGCACTTAGGATGGAAGAATCCAATGCACCGCTACAGACTAGGGACCGAATGGCTAGGCAGCAGTTCTGCGGAAAAGGACCTAGGGGTGACAGTGGACAAGAAGCTGGATATGAGTCAGCAGTGAGCCCTTGTTGCCAAGAAGGCCAATGGCATTTTGGGATGTATAAGTAGGGGCATAGCGAGCAGATCGAGGGATGTGATCGTTCCCCTCTATTCGACATTGGTGAGGCCTCATCTGGAGTACTGTGTCCAGTTTTGGGCCCCACACTACAAGAAGGATGTGGAAAAATTGGAGAGAGTCCAGCGAAGGGCAACAAAAATGATTAGGGGACTGGAACACATGAGTTATGAGGAGAGGCTGAGGGAGCTGGGATTGTTTAGCCTGCAGAAGAGAAGAATGAGGGGGGATTTGATAGCTGCTTTCAACTACCTGAAAGGGGGTTCCAAAGAGGATGGCTCTAGACTGTTCTCAATGGTAGCAGATGACAGAACGAGGAGTAATGGTCTCAAGTTGCAGTGGGGGAGGTTTAGATTGGATATTAGGAAAAACTTTTTCACTAAGAGGGTGGTGAAACACTGGAATGCATTACCTAGGGAGGTGGTAGAATCTCCTTCCTTAGAGGTTTTTAAGGTCAGGCTTGACAAAGCCCTGGCAGGGATGATTTAACTGGGAATTGGTCCTGCTTTGAGCAGGGGGTTGGACTAGATGACCTTCTGGGGTCCTTTCCAACCCTGATATTCTATGATTCTATGATTCTAGATACAACCGCATTTGCTCCCACCCCTCAGACAGAGACAAACACCTACAAGATCTCTATCAAGCATTCTTACAACTACAATAGCCACAGGCTGAAATGAAGAAACAGATTGACAGAGCCAGAAGAGTACCCAGAAGTCACCTACTACAGGACAGGACCAACAAAGACAATAACAGAATGCCACTAGCCATCACCTTTAGCCCCCAGCTAAAACCTCTCCAGCGCATCATCAAGGATCTACAACCTATCCTGAAGGACGACCCATCACTCTCACAGATCTTGGGAGACAGGCCAGTCCTTGCTTACAGACAGCCCCCCAACCTGAAGCAAATACGCACCAGCAACCACACACCAAGCAACAAAAACACTAACCCAGGAACCTTTCCTTGCAACAAAGCCCGTTGCCAGCTGTGTCCACATATCTATTCAGGGGACACCATCATAGGGCCTAATCACATCAGCCACACTATCAGAGGCTCATTCACCTGCGCATCTACCAATGTGATATATGCCATCATGTGCCAGCAATGCCCCTCTGCCATGTACATTGGCCAAACTGGACAGTCTCTACGTAAAAGAATAAATGGACACAAATCAGACGTCAAGAATAATAACATTCAAAAACCAGTTGGAGAACACTTCAATCTCTTTGGTCACTCGATTTCAGACCTAAAAGTGGCAATTCTTCAACAAAAAAACTTCAGAAACAGACTCCAACGAGAGACTGCTGAATTGGAATTAATTTGCAAACTGGATACAAGTAACTTAGGCTTGAATAGAGACTGGGAGTGGATGGGTCATTACACAAAGGAAAACTATTTCCCCATGTTCCTCCCCCACCCCACCCCATGTTCCTCAGACGTTCTTGTCAACTGCTGGAAATGGCCCACTTTGATTATCACTACAAAAGGTTTTTTCTCTCCTGCTGGTAATAGCTCACCTTAAGTGATCACTCTCCTTACAGTGTGTATGGTAACACCCATTGTTTCATGTTCTCGGTGTATATAAATCTCCCCACTGAATGCATCCGATGAAGTGAGCTGTAGCTCACGAAAGCTTATGCTCAAATAAATTGGTTAGTCTCTAAGGTGCCACAAATCCTCCTTTTCTTTTTGAGAATACAGACTAACACGGCTGCTACTCTGAAATCTCGTGGTGTTTATTTTGCAAGACCAGGTTATTAACCCTGATGTCCTGGCCAGTTTCCAATTTAAATAATGGTGTATTTCCTATCTGAACTCCCTCTGTGGTTTTAATTGGGTGCAGCACTGTGGTCATTCAGATACTAATACTGTGCTTTTAAGAAAGGACTGCCTAAAGGAGCTCTCAGTCAAAGGCATAATTTCCTGTAGCCCAGAAAGGTCAGCAGAAGGTCTCTGATCACTGAGAATAGGCCACTTCCACCTTAATTGAACTGGCCTCGTTAGCACTGACCCCCCACTTGGTAAGGCAACTCCCATCTTCTCATGTGCTGTAATATATATACTGCTTACTGTATTTTTCACTCCATGTATCTGATGAAGTGGGTTTTAGCCCACGAAAGCTTACGCCCAAATAAAATTGTTAGTCTCTAAGGTGCCACAAGGACTCATTTTTGCTGATACAGACTAAAACGGCTACCACAGTGAAACTCTGAGAAATGGCATGAGCTTGACTGCTGTACGTAGTAGGCTGCAGCTTAGCTGTACAGGTGTTAGATGCTTGCCATGTTCCACCCCAGAAATGGCTAGGATTCTGTTGTGGGCAAAGTGCTGTTTGTAAAGGGGCTTTGGGGAACATGCTAAATTGGGGTAGAGCAAATGAAACACCTGCCACTGCACTGGTTAGCTGGGTGTCGCGCACCCTGCCTGCTGTTTGGAAGCTGGAAACTGTTAGAAGCCATTTCCTCTGCTGGAAAGGCTGTTGCGATCGTTTGGATTGAACTTGCTGAAGGAGGAGGAAGGGGTCACTCGTTTGGCAGATCTAATTACACTGAGCTGGTTACTGGCCTGTTGGAAATGTGCTACTTTCTGTGGAATTTACTGCTCTGGAGGTATTTTAGCACTGAAAAAAAAACCAAAACCCAATGTCATTATCCCTTCTTTTTGTGGTAGTTTTATTTGTATTGCCATTCAGAGCCCTAATCAGGGCCAGGCCCGCACTGTGGTAGGTGCTGTTCACCCCCACAACAAAAAGCTGGTTCTTGCCTGTAGCAAAGTCACAACTGACTGGTGCAGCGTCTCCTGCTGGTGGTCTTAGGAATTAGCTCTCCAGCTTAAGGAGCGCCCTCTGCAGGCCGGTGTCTTGCCTGCCACTGGCCCGTGTCCTGCCTGGACCCTGGTGCCCCTCTACATCAGGGTTCTGCCCCCAGCAGTAACCCACACTCTCGGTCTCCCCACCCAGGGGAACCCCCAACCCTCTAAACCCACCTTGCCTCAGTGGCTACTGCCAGTCGTCATCTAGCCCCCGCTCACTGGGGCAGATTGCAGTCTGTAATGGCCACTCATCACAGGGAAGGAGGTAGGACCTGCTGCCTTTGCCTATCTCTGGGCTGCCCCTCTGCACCCCCAGTACCTTTGTAGGCCTTCACCAAGGCCTGCAGCCTGGGGGTTTACCAGGCTGGAGCTCCTCCACTCCCTCTGGCCTTCCCCAGCCCTGCTCCACCTCAGGAACCTTGCCCCCAGGCAGCTAGCCCTTCCCACTCCAGGGCTGGAGTGAGACTCCTTCAGCTCCTGGCCCCCAGCCCTCTTATAAGGGCCAGCTGGGCCCTGATTGAGCTGGCCACACCTGTGGTCAGCTACTCACTCAGCTTTTCTCAGCTGTAGCCCTCTCCAGGGCTGCTTTTAACCCCTTCGGGGCCGGAGCGGGGTGACCACCCTGCTACACTGCCCCAGGGAGCTTACAATCTGAGGGTACGGCAAGAGACAGCAGATGGCTAAGAACAGACAGATGGGGAAATACAAGGAAACAGTGAGGCAATACTGGCCAGCATGACAGGCCGTGGGTTTTTCAATAAACAGAGGCATTTAAACACAACTCAGGGCTCCCGGCCTGCACAGAGGGGTCTGGCCGCACCAAATAGACAAAAGCGCCAGGCATGACTGACACAGATGCTTACATATAACTGTATTTACTGCCCATCTGCATACCACACATCAGTAACTCTTAAACAGAGCCCTGGGTGGGCAGACCCGCCCCCTTTCTATTACAGGAATAGCAGTTGTGGGGTTCTAACTTGGGCCCCACAGCTCGGTAATTCTGTACTGGCTTCTGGCAGGTAGGCTTAGGCCACTAGCTAGTGCCGTAGGGGCCCGGTTCACTTTTCAAACATTGCTCAGCAATATCTGCAGGGGCCAGGTATGTGTGAATGTCACAATGAAGAGCTGCGTGCCCAGGTGGGTAACTAACGGGTCAATGTAATTGGGTGACAAAGCGGATGAGATCAGCTTGGTTAACTCTAAAGAGGAGAAGTCCAAGGCTAATCTCCATCCTTGCAGACCACACTGAAGTCTAGATTCTCTCGACCGTATGCTCTTTAGGGCCGAGGTTGTCTTCCTCCGAGTACGTAAAGTGCCCTGCACACTGTGGTGCTAGGATTATAATAAATCAAGGGATTTGAGTCAGTGAATTCACTCTGGGAATAAGTTAGGGCTGAATTTGTTCCAGAGTGGCCACGTTAATGTTAAACACACCCATGTCTTAAGTTTGCTTTAAGCAAGTAGAAGAGAGAGCGAGCGTGTGTGTGTGGTCTGCCCTGGGACCTTCCCCTTTTCACCAGGCTCATTCCCATGAACTTTTCAAATCATTGCCCACCAGTTGCTGGATCATGCAGTCTCTTCCTAATGGACAGGCATCCATTCTGCAGTGCTGACTTTTAGAGAAACGGCAATTGCTTTATGGAATGGGAATAATAATCATAGAGGTGGAAGTGTTGAGCAGTGCAAGCTACTCCTCTGTCACGTTTCTATTAACACTAAAAAAACCCCAAACAAGCAAAGCACAAGCAGCAGGGACACCTCTGGAGTTGCAACTGGTGACGAACCTTCCCTGCAGAGAGAAGCAATTTGTACAAAGGACAAATACAAAATAAAGAACAAGTTTCCCACGGGGGCAATGGCAAGTGCCAGCGATGATGAGAAGAATTTGTAAACACAGAGCGAGGAGATTGATCAGAAGGAAAAGAAAGTAGTGAAGCTGCTACACTGGGTCCCCAGTGGTCTAGCCCCATTTCTGGGATTTCTTACATTCCTGTCTCCCTGTTTGATCCTCATTTAGAACTGAAATAGCATGCTTCTGCTCCCAGCAATGTCATTGCAATTTGCAGCATGGAACAGTGCTGTAACCCTGTGTGTATCTAATTGTGTGATGGGTTTTTTTGTCCTGCTGGAGATGTACAGTGGTAGGATTATTTTCTTGCCTTTGGGCAGGAAGCTATTAGAAATTAGAGCTACAGGTTTAGCTGAGATGCTCTTAGTGAAATATTAAATAGACCCCCCCTCACCTCTCACAAAATTACAGTGCCCAGATAGAGGGAAGAGGAAAGAAAAATGCACTAAAAAGGAAAGTAAATTCCAAACTGCAACAGTGCTGTTCATACTTTTGTGCCTGTGTTTGTGGCTAAAGTAAGGCACTGAAGTCTGTGTTTGAGCACCTAAATAGAAATGGCCTGTTATTCAGAGTTGAGGAACACCTGTGACTCCCATTGAAGTTGATGGCAGCTTTGCCTGAGTCAGGCTTGACCCACGGTAAGGAATGGATTTTAAGCATGTTGGAGGATTCTGCCTGGCCGCCAGCCATGCCGTGTCTACCATGGCATGCAATGCACTTTCTAAAGCCACGACTGGTTTAGTTACCAGCTAGCTGAGGACCTGCTCCTGCTCCCACTGCAGTTAATGCTAATCTTCCCACGATTGTAGATGCAAACAGGATCAAGTCTTTAGAGACCTTTTCTCCCCACTGCCCTGTTGCTACAATTCAGATCACTTGGGGAGCTTTTTGCCATCAGGCTCTGGAGTGAAACTTTTGGCTACACGTTTTCAGTGGAAGGGCCCTGCCTGCGGAACTCCCTGCCCCTCTCTGGACCATCAGACCTTGGGCTTGGCTACCATCAGGGCACAGAACTAGGTCTGTTTACTTAGCCACATTGATGCCTGATCGATCTGGCTGCGGGAAAGGGGAGAGCTTTCTCTCCCCTCCTGCTGCAGAGGCTCCAGAGTGTTGGGTGGGTAAGTCTCTGCTATTCTACCCCTCCCGCACCGGGTGGGGAGGACAGGGGGGTGTCTTTCTCCCACCCTGAGACTAACTCCTGGAAGAGAACCTACTCTCCACGGGTGAGTGGGCTTCTCAAGCCCTGGTGGTGGTGACTCCTGCTTATGCAGGAATCTGCTGTCACTTGCAGCAGCTCCTCCGTGAGCAGTGTCCAGAAACACGGTATTCCTTCTGCATGGCAGCAGTGAGGCTATGCCTAGCGCATTGCATAAAGTTCTAGACTTCTCCAGTAATTGCATCCCAAAAGGGGGGAGGGGGAAGAGTTATGTCATTGACATCTAGAACATATTCACATGCTGGAGGTATTGTGGAGACGAGCCCCGGATCGGTTCAGGGTTGGAGGGACTGGCTTATGCAGACAGACCGGTATTTGCAGAAAGCTTTGCATTTCCCAAATTCATTACACATAACTAACGAACCCTCGCTCACCATTAACCAAACCTTCTTTAGGAGTTAGGTAAATAGTAATTGTCTCCACTCTAAGGAAACGGAAACTGAGCTAGGGAGAGGTGAAGACCCAAATTCTCCAAGGTATTTAGACATCTAACCTCCATTAAAGTCAATGGGGGTCAGACACCTGAATATCTTTGCAGATCTAGGAAGAAGCGATTTGTCCAAGGCTGTGCAACCAGTTGATGTCTGGAACTCAGGATTCGCAGGCTCCCAGCCTTCTGCTTGGTCCATGCTGCACCTGCTAGAGAATAAAGGAACTAAACAGAGAGCTTGGATGATATAAGCAATAACAATGTTTTCTAGTTACATACCTAGCTGTCATTTGTTTGGGGCCTGATTCATGGTTTGGGTCGGTAATGGGGATATAGTTCTAAATTAACTGCAGACGCAGCGTAAAAAGAGCTGGCTGTGCTTTTTGACAGTTCAATTAGCACATCTGCTCAGTGCGCAAAACAGCAAACAGAATTTTAGGATGCATAAAGAAGGGATCGAAAATACTGCAAATATTACAATGCCACAATGTA